ATGGTAATTGTTATTAAATTTATATTCTATAACGAAGAAGAACAGCTTGAGGATGGCAGTAGGATAATTGGTTCCCACAGGAATACCATGAATTTGGAGAAAAAGTTTATTTTGATGTTTAATAAAATTGTGAAAAAGTGTACCATTAAGATAAGGGTCCCATTTATGGAAATTAATTAAGTTTCTAATGCTAGAAAATAGGTAATAAAGCTCAATTAAACGATTTCAGATTTCATTGAGTTGCACTGTGATGTTCAAATTCTCAACATCACAGCTGTTATTATTGTAAATCTGTTGTCTGTTAATAATTGTAATGTATGTTTGAAGATGATTGCAGAAGAGAGAGCTGCATGTAAGGCGATTCTCTGTTTTCATTCTTACATATGGATTGTTTAAATAGGAGTTCAAAGAAGGAAGGTGAATTTAACAGCTTTTAGCTGATCTGAAGTCACTTTGTATAATTCTTATTTAATCGGAAGCATTCTTTTAACCTTTATCTGGTATGAATTTGATTTGAATTTCGAAAACTGCAAGATCGTTTTATTTCACAAAAACTCGACAAAATAAAATATGTGTTTTAATATTAGCATATTTTACTTGTAATGATGTTCAGAGCTTATTGTGATGAATAAAGAGAAAAAAATTAGTACTGCAATTCATCCATTAATTACTGTTGTTGTTAAATGAAATATGCAAATAAGCATAGTTATTGTGCGTACCCGTCTATTCAATCTCAAAGAACTTTTGTTTGTAAGACACGAGGCTGTCATTGAACACAAAAGCTCTTCTATTTGTGCCTTGATTCCTCTTAGAGCATTTACCCTTTAGCTCTGTAGCCTTCTTTGGAACAAAACCACAAAGAAATGCTTCTGACATTGCCGTCTAGTCTGTGGCTCACTGTTCACTCTCTTCGAAAACTATTTGATCTCAGTGGCATTCTGCCAGAAAATTGCACATGGTCATTAGTGTCCGGTCCGCTTACATTACTGAAATTAATTACAGCGATGCGAAATTCTTGTCTTAGGGAAATGAATTAAATGAAGGTTGCATCATATTTTCTAATATTTTTAAATGCTTTGAGGAGAGCGGTATTACGTTTGCGGTAGGCAGAGAGTAAATGTTTTCAATTGTGGAAAAAACAAATATCGGTGCATCTTTTATATCATCAAGTACACGTGAGACTACAACGCAGAAAATATATAGTGGAAAGAATTATAAATTCAAGTCTTAAATTAGCAGAAGAGTAAAAAAGTTTAAAACATTTCTGTAAAATTAAAAAATAAATTTAAGAAATATACATGTGGATTTTAGGCAAGAGGAGTGTTTCTTTTATCGCTGAAGTGCTTCGGTGACATAAATTGAAACATTATCAAATTAAAAAAAAAATAAAATCAACATTATTTCTAAGAAGTATCTCTTGAATTATTTAATTAGAGAACCGTAAATAAAATCTGTAATTTTACATGTTAATGTGAAACATCGAATACACTGAAAGAAGCATTGAAACTTTCAACTTAAAAATAATGGAATAAAATATAAAGCTGGTTTTAGTAATATCACATCTAGCAATTTATAGTAAATTTAAAAATGAGAAATTTCTTATGCTTAAATACATCTTATTAGGCACAACTAAGTTAACCAAAATAATGTTTCAGTTTCTCGAAAACACATTTGAATATTGCCTGATTAATTTCGCTTTTTAGTAACAACTCCTATCCAGCAAAATACATGAAAATAATGGAAATATTAAATATGAATTATTATTAACTTTACATTATTAAAACATCTCCAAATGATTAAAATAATGTTTTTATAAAACGGTTTTATGATAAAAATTGGGCTAGTCAAGGATTAAAATTTATACAAATATTTATATTTAATAAGAAAGAGTCCTTATAAAATGGATATTTGATTTTAATTATTAAAGAATTATATTATAAGGTAAATAGTCTTTATTTAGGTATGAAATATCCTAATTATTAATCAGAAGCTTATCTTGAGTTTCGTGTTTTCTATTCTTTATCAGGTATATTACTAATCCCAGGGACCCAACACTGACATTTAACATGAAGATTTTTCTGTTAACTTAGGAAACATATGTACCTTAGTGCTGTCACCATTATCAGGAAAAATATCGAGCATATTTTGTCTCAAAATGAAATTATCAAAATAATAAATAAATAATATTATTAATACAATTATTAATGATAAAAATATTAATGATAAAAATATTAATGATTTCTATGAATAATTTAACATATATTTCAAAAATATTCACAAGAGGTGTAGTACCATTCATGTGTCGGTAGGATCCATCTACGCCCGTCACGCAAAAAAATTTTATTTTACCAGCGAAAATGAAAGCTGAAACCGATTTTACAAAATGTGATTTGAAATATTTCAATTCTAAATGGGATTTTAAAAAGATATTCTTTTCTTAAAAACACTGTGATGAAATACAGAGTACTATATAACATATTTCTCCCACCTTCCTAGCATGCCTTCGTGATGTGGTGGTCTGCAAGCTGGGCGCGTATTCCAGAGGTCCATGGTTCGATTCCCGGGAAAGGCGTTGCTCATTTTTTCAATCTCTCTTGCTTAAAAAAAATCCTAATGTCTCTACAGTGACGCCTGAACTAAAAGTGTGGTGGATGATGATTCTCCACACCCAGGATTTGGCGATTGCATCCCCTAAAATCCCCAGTCTCCCTTTAAAAGGTCGAGTATATAAGGTATTTCTCTCGCCTTCCTAGCGTGCCTTCGTGGTGTAGTGGTTCTGCACAATGGGGCGGTATTCCAGAGGTCCGTGGATGGATTCCCAGCGAAGGCGTTGCTCATTTTCCAATCTCCCTTGCTTCAAAATAATCCTAATGTCTCTACAACTAAATTATTACCATATTCGAATTAGTATCATCTAAATCTATGCAGTCCTTAAGTTCTCTACAAGCAAGTAATGTAAATTATAAACTATAAATTACAAAATTAAAAAAAATAATTGCATGAAAAATAATGTACGATTTAATGAATCAGCTGCAAGATGGTAAATTTTAATATTTGTTTGTCACGTTTAGAGTGTTATTATTTATTAGGAATTCACAGTTTTTTTGTTTAAAACATATCCAATTAGGCTACATACCTCAAATATATATACATTATTATTTATTAGGAATTCACGGTTTTTTTGGTTAAAACATATCCAATTAGGCTCCATACCTCAAAATATATATACATGGTTTTGAGGATAAAAAGAGACACTTTAACTTCAGCATGATGAAAAAAAATTATCATATAACCTCAAATTTATACTTGCCGCTCCGGAACTATGGCTCATCTGCGGCTTAAGGATGAAGTCTCTGAACAGTGGCAGTTCGACCTGTATTCTATTACAGGCGAACAAGCTGGTTGCATATGTGTTTCGTGGTTTTACCCATATGCAACATCGATAATAGCAAGTTTTCCTTAGAAAGTCACCCACGAAAACATCTCTTCCCATTAGGCAAATGCCCTAGCATACTTTGCTATAATGAGATAAACCAAACCAAAACGAAGCTATCACCCTGAACATAGGAAGTAATTTCTTTTTTTACCCCTTAATGAGCCGCCCAACCAGGAAAATGGTTAGGGATTGACTGCCGTACCGAATGGCCGATTTATAAAATGTAATTATGTGAATTGATTCATGTGATTATGTGAATATTCAAATGTGAAATGTTTGTAAATTAAAAAAAAATTATAGTGCCAGCGCGACATGGGGGCGCTCTAAATATGCGGCGAGCCGAAAGTCCTCTCGACAGGTTGATGGTAAAGGAAGAGAGGTGGGAAAACCTCGGACCAGTTTTCCCGTGAGTCCTTTACTTCAGAATTGTGTGCGGAAATGGACTAAAGTCGGGCTGTCAACTATATGGTGCTCAAGGCTTATGCCAACGACAGGCACATTTGACTCCTTGCCACGATGAATGTAATGGGCTTGTGCTGACCATTGTTAGGCGAGTGAAGTTGGTAACAACAACGACAGCCCACGAATGAAGCTGTTGAAGACTGTTTTTAATATCCCCTAATTAGCAGTGAGCTTTTACCTAACGAACTGGGATGTTGATGAATCGTATTTATTTCCCGTTGAACCACCCAATAATAGATATTAGATCTGTGATAAGAAGATTGAAGAGAAATGAATCACGCTATATTTTCCGATGTGTATAGTATAAAATGTTTGACAACTACATAGACGCTTTATAATTCAAGGACACATTTCTATGTTTACTATATGTAGGCTTCATTAGCGGTCTCCATGACAGAGAGCTACAAATTTCAGTGAACGCATTATGTATGCATTTTATATTAAATTATTCTCGATATGTTCGATGTTGTTAAGATTTTCTATATACATAACTTGATGACATTCAAAATAGATATCCTTAAATTAGAATGGCCTCTTAAAATAACACTTTTCTGTTCTCCTGGTGTATACGAGCCAGTCTCCTTTAGAAACTTCCTCCACGAATGCATCCCTCCCCTTACGCAGATAGCCCTCAAGGCTTTGCCGTAATCTCATAAAAACTAAAAAAAAAAAAAAAAAAAAAAAACCACCTTCAGCTTACCTAACCTTTCAAAAGCCATTGATTTCATTCTGGTTTCTTGTTGGGAAGATAAAAATATTATCTTAAGCCTGTACAGTTTAAGACCAGATTTATAATATATGATGATATATTTATGACAGATAATTTAGACAGATATTTACTTTTTACATGATAATATATTTATGATAGGTATTAACTTTATAGTTTTATTGAAGCTAAGAGCGTTTTCGAACTTACTTTAAACAATGACATCTTAAATACGAGATTCTGCTTTCGTTAAATTTTAAAAAGTAAAGTAAAAGCTCAAAGAAACATGCAGCCGGACGTGCCGGTTAAAACGGAGCTAAAGTTCCGAATCCAATTAGAATAATTATTTTTCAGTTTTATTAATTTGTGAGAGAAGAATAAATTCCCAAGACTTACTTTGTTACTTCCACAAGTAGAACGATACATGACTATCACAAACGCCACTTTACAGCTTAATTTCTTGATGATTATGAGATTGATGAACTTGGGAAAACTGTATCCGGTTGTTAATGGCTTGCTCCCATCTGGATTGAGCAGAGGCTGCGCTAAGTTTGGCTTTTGGTGGATTTGCGGCGGAGTGGGTACCATGCAAGGCTTAGGTGGAACTTTCTGCGTATGAAGAGCCATTTCCTGCTGTTGTTGCAAAGTTTGGCATACTGGAGACGGAGGCGGGGCCCTTAAGGAAAGAGGCTTCATTTGGGGGACTGAAGAAGACATCTGGGAGTCCACCGATCCTTCCTGAGGAGAGAAATTGTAATTATTTGCCATTTTCTTAAAATATAAGTATTTTATGCCATATCTTATTCACGGAATTATGAACTGACATTAGCATGATCTTCTATGCAAAGATAAATATCAGAAAGTGCTAATATATTTACTGTTATATGGGTCATTCACAACTTTTAATGCTTAATCATTTTATGTACTAAACACTGTTAGTTATAAGTACTAATATAAATGCTTTTCAATTAAATATTTCTTCAAGCTTTCTAGATGCATACAGATTTTTTCCCATTGGCGGGCACTTAGCCAACTTAAAGTCTGGAAGTTATGGCGACTTTACTGTGGAAGCACCTTATAAGTGGGCTCCCATTACCTCCTAGGAAGGGACGGGCAACTACAGCCATGTCTGCTTCGGGATTCGAACCCGAGCCCTTTGGTATCGCAGTAATCTCCTCTAGCCATTATACCGCCTGGGAATTGCATACATAAATTATTAGCTGCATACAAATACATATATAAAATAATTAGCATAAACGGTATCAGTGTAATGATAAAAAATATTTTAAAGATACTTTTCATAATGAGTTACATCTTAGACGCGTCATCTCTAACTAACAAATTTAATAAGTTATTATGAAATTGTCATTCATTTTGTAACGATGTTCGTAGGTTCAACAAAACTTTCCGTGCTACCTTCCCCAACAAAAAAAAAAAAAAAAAAAAAAAAAAAAAAAAAACGTAAAATAGCATTAAACTACAGAAATTTGTTACCTGTACACATGTTATGTAGTCTCAATATATGCTTCAGTTTCTCTTGTCACTCTAATTATTAGAAAGGTTAATACAATAATCTTCTTTAGCATAAGATTGATATAAAATTTTGTAAATTTTGCAGAGAAAGTGACATCATTGCAAATTTTAGAACTGAAAATTTTGTCATCCATCAAACAAAATATTGGCTTATAATTACAGAAATTTCATACTGATGAACTTTGCATCGAGAAAGATAACAAAAAATATAACTTGAGACATTCGTTAAAATAACTACCATCAACTACAGAAAAGATGGAATCAGACTTCGGTAATGTCTTTACAAAGCGTGTTTTATTACCAGTAGCTAAAGAACGTGAGACGAAAAGAAGCTAGTGAATAATTCAAATTTGTAAAGTGTATCGTTTTAAACAATTATTCGAAATTAGAAAAATACAGAATTCAATAAACCAGAATTTTCAAATAATTGCTTTCAGTAAAACAGAATAGTGTTTGCGATATATTTTTATTCCTAATTTGAAAAGGGGGGGGAATCACATTTCACATGGTAAAATTAATTCAGAATAGCGAAATAATAACCGGAAATCATAAGTTTATAATGTTTAGAGAACATTAAATTTACGTGTTAAGGGTATTTTGCAATGGAAGAAGCAACGCTTCCACGGCTTGTTTTCTCTCTTTTTGTTCCTTTTCTTTATTTTAAATGTACTACATTCATCGTCAGAGAATACGTAATCTAAATGCTACATATGTAACATTTATCTGCCTTTTGAGCTTCAAAACTGAATTAATAAAATAATTTAATGTTTCCTCAGAATTAATTCTCCTATCATTCCTGCTCCAAAAGAGGATTTCGATTTGAATTGAGCCATCTGTGTTTGTATTCCTTCAAAAACCAGTTTAAGTTCTAATTTCAATTATTCTTCTTATTAGAAACAATCATGCAAAGCAGCAAATAAAAATAAATGGTTTAAACTTCTTTTAGAAACCAAGATCTGAAAGAATTGGAGCGTTTGTTTCTTAATCGAAATGAAATCTTAAAATTTTAGTTAAATTTTACAATTCACATATTGTGGGAATAAATTAAACTTCGAAATGAATTTTAAGCAGAATATATTTTATATATGAAATAAGAAATTTGCAATTACAAGGAATTAAAAATGAAGAAATCCAGAACAAAGATTAATTATTCCTCAGCTCTCGCATGCATTTATACTAAAACTCGTCTGAACGCCCTTCTTCCATAGATGCTCACCTCCAAATTTGACAAGTATTTCTAAGAAAATATCATATTCATTACTTAGACAACTTTTCTGGAACTCTAATGACACTATCAATTACGTTCACTAAAGAGGGCCTCATCTGCCAAGATAAATCTCAACACAAATTCTGAGTCTCATGAGAAATTCAATGTTAAATATACTCCGGTTCTCTTCGTTACTAGGGAGAATAATCAAGAACAAGAGTATAGTGACTACTTTGAGACCTGTGCGTTTTATCAATTAGACAATATGTTCTACCTGAAATTTTTGCTCGATAAATGCATCTGCAACTTCATTTGATGGGGTATATGATGTAATACTGCTTAGTACAGGTTTTCAGTTTTGGGTCGTCCATCAAGATAATGCGCAAAGTATTTGATTTCGGGTTTCGTTAAGAAATTCTGTTACCTTGCTCTGTGTGTCAGATGTGAAAACTCTGATGTTAAATTGGTAATCTGTTACCATTTTGGCTTTGTAGTCCGTGAATTCAGAGGTTTCCAAAAGCTTTATGAGCTGTTTCCAGGTGTGGGTGGAGTCTATCATCCTTATATTTGGTAGACAAATCCAGTACTGTCTCTTTGATCGGTAAAGTAATGATCAAATACTGATTCAGTACTGATTAATTAAATAGTATCTTGTTTGACTGTTGCATTTGCAGTGATCAGAGCAGCAGAGTCAAGATTTTCCTAATTAGCTGATGCTGGTTTGTCAGGTGGGACAATTTCTGAAGTTTTCTCTTACGTCCTTGATAATAAATTTGAAAAGCTTTTCTGCTGGTAGGGTCTTGATTTGCCTATGGAAAGATTTATTCCGAGATTTGGAGAAACTTCTACGGTTTTGAATTCTTTGAAATTTCTTGTTCTATTTCTTTATTGGCTGGATTTCCTTAAGTGAAAAACTTTCATCTGGATGGGTAAAGCTATACTTTCTTCGCAAAGAATAGAGTGAAACTACACTTTCATCGCAAAGAATTGAGAATACGTTGTTCATCGGTTTAGTCGGGCTGTGCGGTTCTTTAGCTTGTACTCCCTGAACTTCCATACCTTCAGTATTCTGCACTGGTAAAGAATCTGGAACGGAAATAACGACTGGGGCTTGCTTGTCTATATCTTTTAGCTCAGACAGATCCAGGAGGTTTAGGTCTAGAAACACAGAAAAAAAACTCCGGTTTATCCTCTCTTGAATAATGCTATTTTTTGTAGTATCTTGCGCCGTCCGAAGACAACCGAAAAACATGTTAAGTCAGTAAATTCTCTAGAATTCAGGAATAATCTGCTGAATAAAAGCCATAATCCAAACGGTCGGCAGGAAACAATTCTCAGACAATTATGTGAAGAACTAACAATTTGATTAAGTGAAATTAGTATAAGCAAACATGCAAAAACATGAGAAGCAATTCTTACTCCCAGCGCGCGACGATAAGAAAGCAGAAAAACTCTGTAATGCACATTACTACCCGAAAAGAATCTCTCTAGCGTTATACACTACCGTTTTCTTCTAAAACTGAACTGTTTATTTTATGTGCTATTTACTTTATATTCTTACAAGCATGATGCATGGATTCAAGTAAATAGTATGTTTGATAATTATGCATGCATCAAGTTGTAATATTTTATGTTTTAGTGGCACTTAGCTTTGCGTTAATTTCTGTCCTATATGCCTTGTCTCGTCACATTGTTCACTGATACCAGAGGTTTATACAAATTGTTTGACAATCGGCATAGCTTAAATCTAGGATGTAATCCTAACCAGAATCTCACTGGATTTCATACTGGTCACACTGGATTTCATACTGGAGTATCGCCTTCCAGCTCAAGAAGCCGCTCAGAAAGAAGAAATTTAGAACTATCGAGTAGTTTTGATAGAATCCAGTAAGTGTTACAAGGTTGGAAAGTTACAGAGCTGACCCAATGTGTAAACCGCATCTGCTTGGGCTTCGGTTTTGATAATTGTGTTATAAGGTATTTCTCCTACCTTCCTAGCATACCTTCGTGGTATAATGGTTCTGCACGCTGGGCCGGTGTACCAGAGCTCCGCGGTTCGATTCCTGGCGAAGGCGTGGCTAATTTTTCATGTCTCCCGCTTTTCCAAAATACCTAATGTCTCTATCGTGGCGCCCGAACTAAAAGGGTGCTGGATGATGATTCTCCTCTCCCAGGATTTGGCGATTGGGTATCATAAAACCCCCATTCGCCCTTTAAAAGGGGGAGTATATAAGGTATTTCTCCTGCCTTCCTAGCATGCCTTTGTGGTGTAACCGTTCTGCACGCTGGTCCGCTATTCCAGGGATCCGCGGTTTGATTTCCGTCAAAGGCGTTGCTAATTTTTCATCTCTCCAGCTTTTCCAATTAACCTAATGTCTCTATAGTGTCTTAGTAATTAAACAGAAACAAAGACAACAAGCCAACCTTTAGACATAAATTCTTAACGTCAGCCACAAGATTTGAGGATAGCCTGTTTCAAGTTGATTTAAGCCTTAGAAATTATACCGTGTCAAATATGTTATTTTACATAAGAATTCATTAGAATATTTGAATACTTTTTCTTTTCTTTCTGAATGCAAAAAAAACCGATCTAGAAATTATATACAGTTAAGGGTATGAATCTGAATGGTATATACATGTAAAAGATGTAATTGTTCGTAGAATATCAGTATAAGTTAAAGCTCTTAACTTATACTGATATTCTACGCAATCACATAGCAACGAATTTGTTAGGTGGGTATCAAAAATTCAATAAGTACATTATTATTATTATTAACCATGGAGCCAGATATATCCAACAGAAATAGAAAAATCATTCAATGAATTTGCTTTTGAAATTAGAATAATGCATTTGGTAAAATGAGAGCTGAAAAAAACTGAAATTTAAAACCCTTTATTATTGCTTATACAACGTTGAATAAATATAGTAATTAGATTCAAACTGTGTCTCAGCGAAACACAATTCTTAAAACTAAGTACGTAAAAAATAAATATTCTTAAACTTTAAATTCAGTTAATTTTATTTATGATAACTGATTGGTATATTCATTTCCTGTAAACAAAGCAAAAACAGTATGAGATTTCCCGAGAATTTTTAACATCAGCATGTAGTTTACAAGAATACAAAATATACATTTTATTAAATTTCTTCCAATTATTTCAATTTTCAATAATGATTAAGATTAATTTAAACACCGATCTACCTTCCTTTTGATTCGTGTCGCAAATACTCGCTTAGATAGTACGGTTATGCCAAAGACACTTGCAAGACAGTCTATTTGAAAAGAATTAGTAATATTTGTAGGAGGGCAAATCGATTTCCCCTTGCTCTTTGAGGTTAGTAAGTGCCGCATTTAGAGTGATTAATTTGCAGTAAAACCAAGTATATCTTGTTTTAGAGTATTTGATGTCTGATAAGTGTAAATTTTTAAGGCAAGTTGTCTGAAATGATACTAGTTATTGCTAAAAGTAGTTGACATTTTAACTTGTAAAGTCCCGTTTTAGTTGTAAGCAGTCAGAAGTGGGCAAATAATATTTGTTAAATTTTAATTCTGCGCTTGTGACGGCAATAACTGGCAGACATTTCGTAAATGACACGGATTAAAACGGACTAATCAGTATAGTTTTAAATTTTCCTATTCTGGTTGGATATAAGAGCATAAATATGAAATCAAATAATCTAAATTTCAAAATCTTACCGCAAAAATTCTTTTCTGAAGGTCTTCTGCCCTGTTTCTGTCTCTTTGATAGTAAATGCCAGCAAATATGAGAATATTCAGAACTAAAAGAGAAGCTCCGACAGCTATTGTAACACTCAGAGCTGCACTGATGCCTCCCTCCTGCATCACAACAGCCAAAGAATCTGACATATTCATCGTTGTTGAGACCTGTGTAAAACTTTCGGTAGAAAGCTCATCATTGGAACTGATTGGAACTACATCTGGCTTGTTTGTTGATCGATTCCAAGAAGTATTGGATGCAGTTGTGGGAGCTAAAGTTTCGAAATCTTCAGGAGATACGGAAAATGCAACTTGTCTAACAGCTCCATCGTATGTCTGAAGGTTATCGTGATCATCTAGGAGGTGATGTTCTGGCGACACGTTAACGGAACTAGTTTCATGAAGCTGGGGAAACAGATGTAACCAGAAGGAGAGACGGTGAGCATGGTAATGATCTCGGACTTTAGGCCTGATTCCTGTAACAGTAAAATAAGCATTAGAAATTAATGAAAGAATGTAGTATTGATAAGTAGTAAAATATAATTTTCGCAGCTGACTTCGGTAAGTTAAATTTTTATTGATGTTGAACAGACTTCTGATGAATTGATAATTTTTAATTTACTTGAATCATGTTTCCCATACCATGTTTTATGTAGCTCTCATTTTATGTCACTCTCATAATTTTTTTTTACGCTTTACACTTAGCTTAGTTCTGAATTAGTAGTTATTTATATGCATTTATATGAAAAACAAACTGACATTATGATTTAATTAGGTTTTGGTTTTAAACTGAAGTTGTTTAAATTTCTAAATTAAAGTTTATTTTAAATTTGATAATTCAAAGCTCATGCAAAAGACTTTTATTTTGATCATTTATCCTATGTATTATATATGTGTAGCATACATTTAATATGTAATCTGTATATTCACTGTCACATGAAACATTCACTGCTTGCACAGTGTGATTATGATTACAGTATGGGTTATCATCCTATTATTTAAAAAAATTAAATTCCCTAAATCATTAACATATTTTTCAAAAAAATATGTTTATTCCCTTTCAACCATGGGAAATTAATTTTTATGGAGAAAGAGAAATATATCTTTCTGCATGATTGTTATAAAAGTGGCAATGAACATTGATTGTAAGCAAATGTTTTGCAACAATAAGTAGTAAATGTAACATAAATGAATAAGTAAGCAAACTGTCATTATGATAGAATTAGCATTTTGTTCTTAAACTAAAGTTGTTTAAAATTCTAAATTTAAACCTATTTTCAATTTGATAATTCAAAGCTTTTGCAAACCATTTCTATTTTGATCCTTTCTTCTCTGTACTATATATGTGTACCATACATTTAATGTGTAATCTGTATATTGATTGTCACATGAAGCATGCACTGTTTCCACAGTGCGATTATGATTACAGTATGGGTTATCTTCCAGCACACTGAGATTTCATACACTTATTATTTTATCCTTTTGCAGCTCTGATAACAGTACTCTGAAATTCTGAAAATAATGTTTGGCAGTGCAGCTCAAAATATTGCTGCAATATCAAATATAATTTTGCACACATTTTTATCTGCCTGTTCGCCTACTATCACTTGCAAATTGTGTTGATGGAGACGCTAAAAGCAATTTGATTTCACAGCGCATGGACTGTAGCTTGATTCATAGAGATAATTTTACATTCAATTGTAAATGTCTTCTTTCAGAAGTTTACCTGTATGACTTTAGCAGGATTTAGTTTCTGCCTGTATATTTTTTATGAGTCTTATGATTTGTGCCAGAATTATTTTACAACTTCGAGAGGGATATTTTAGCTAGCCAGTTTTGTCGACTCTTCAAAGACACTGCCTGTTCTTAGTTTCACATTCAGCTGCTATTTGGTCTCTAGTCTGTCCTCTTACCATTGCACGTGTTGGCAATAATGTATGAATACCAGTTATAAATAAACTGTAGTATTCTGTAGCCATTATGACTATGGGCTGAAAAATTTGAAACATTTTTGAAATACAAGGTAATGATTAAATGCTACATTGTTTCCCACAGCATAAATTTACATTTCTAATCCTGAATATGCAGATACAATTAATCAGAAGGATTCCAAATTTCTATGCTTAGTACTGATTTACACATTTCGTTCAGCTAATATAAGTAGAAAAATTAAATAATTTTAAACATTATTATTGTTACATGAGCAAATTAGCCTCTTTACCTAGTTTCTATAAAAAGGGATTAGATAAAAATCTCATTATGCATCCATTATCCAAACTAGACTCAAGCAAACTTCACATGAGACTATTAAAAATCCTGATAAAGTAATTTAAAAAATGCATTAATCAGCTCAGTTATGCAACAAAAAGCAATTGCAAGCGTAAAATGCTAGCAAATTTTTGAAGTATGAAATAAATGTAATTGCAAATTACGACAACTTTTTCAGCCGAGACGCTTAACGAGTTGTCTTTTCTAAATTAATTTTACGCCATCAAACGTATAATTATACTCTTATTCATCAAATCTGGTGCCTCTTAATCTAAGGAGTACCACTGCGTTTAAACCTAGCTACCGAAATCCCGAGCATTAATTGACAACCCAGAATATTTCTTATATTTATAACTTCATTTATATAACTCGTGATTAATGGAGAATCTAATATAAAACAAACCATCATTTACATAACAAGTTATACTATTAGGACTAACTTTTAACAAAATAAAAATAAATGTTACTGATGCAACTTTTATACAACCGTAAAATGTCAAAATTTTGTATGTGCTGCAAAGAAATATTTTGAAATAACTAAAATAGTAAAATGAATAACCAGAACCATAACTCTGCGTAATTAATATTTTAACATTTATTACACTTTTATTGGTTAATTACTATTACTAAATTTCACATTTTAGAAAAACATTTTCCTGATAGAAGGTGCAAATGTAAGAATATGTAGAAAACACTCTGAGCATGAAAAGTCGTCCTTTTTACATACTGCTATTTTTTTGCATTTTAAAGCTAAAATTAGGCAACGCAAAAACCTTGTGCATGGTGTAGATTCAGTCAAGAGCCATTGAGACGCCAAACACAAGGTTGTTGCTGTTACCTAATTTGTTGTTTTACTTTAGCGTGTTTCTCTTCTGTTTTGGTTCTTAAAGCATATAAACGGAAAAAGAATGTTATGTTTTTTAGTAATATTAGCATTCACTTTCTTAATTCATAAGTGAACATAATAATCTCAAGTCCCCTATGTATCAAAATGAGGAATTAAAATTCCATAAATATCACAAAAACGTTTATTGAAAAATTAGTGAAAACATTGACAAATTCTGACATTTCTGTTTTCATATTCTTCTAAAGGAAAACGTTTTATTATATTTAAAAGTTTTATTATAAAGGAAAAAGCTTTTTTATTGATTATTTTTATTGATTATTCATTTATATCAGGATAAAGACATACGAAATTGTCAGTATTTTATTTTTGCTGGATTAGCTTGCAATTATCATTAAGCACGTTATGCAATTATCATTATTAACATGTTATACAATTAGCATTTTCTGATTACGTAATTAATTTTATAGTAACAGTTTAAGTTTATTCCAATTTTACATGTTTACCAAGAAAAGAAATCATCTAAAAGGACGAAGAATGCTTCTTTCTTCTTGACTTGCCTTGACGAAGATCTCTGAGAAACACTTATACGAACGAAGTTAACAAGCATACTAGGATTCCAGGGAACGCCACGTCTTTTATATTTATTAATTTATTTGTTTTATTTTATTTTATTTAGTTTCACAAAATGTTTATTGAAAGGGCTCATCATGCTCATTACACACCGCTTGGAGTACGAAACCGCCTCGTTACACATTGACCAAGTACAAAATATAGAAAGGCCGAAACATGTGAAGATTTACTGACATGATACATTTATTTTTAATTTTCGATTGTCTGTTCTACAATTACACAGGATACATTTACAGGAACGCTTAAAAGACTACCATGCAGCGTTTTAACTAGACTCACCTGCTCATAGAAATTCTGAGCCAGAAATAATGCCGCAGTATGAAGTTTAACAAAAATACCTTCCTTGATTGCATCATCACTTATGTTGGGAAATGCGTTTCTCAGGTATGTGAATCCTAGCTATTTGTATCCATTGCCGTAACAAAGTACTTCGCAAATCCTAACTTAATGGGTCGCTGAAGAGGGTATAATTTTTCAGGATCCACGAATGTTGTGTTGATGACATTAAACTTTTCTGAGGCTAGTGATATTTGCTTCGGCTAACATTTTCCGGAGGTAAGATTAACTCCGTTTAGATTACTATCGAAGCCAGCCGTCCTCTCGAAGGTAAACGGGTATACAGAGTGTATAATAATCTTTCCCTTCTCAGCTTTCTTGCAAAGAAACATTAGTATTTTGCGTAGCGCAGTTTAAGCCCAAGTAGAAAAGATTTTGCTTTTAAATGACCACAACCATTTTTCGAACTGAACCTGTGTTAGGAAGATTTTCAAATTTCCGAACAGGTCTTTCAAATTCACAGCGTATGTTCACAGTTCACATTCACAGCGTACGTTTTTCATGGGAGTTTGTTTCCGTTACTGTTGAAGAAGTACGGGACACCGTCGGTTTATCATAGTTTGTTTACGTTACTAGGAATTATAAGTATGCTTGTGGTTATTGTTTAATTGTGAAGTGGAATGGAGGCTATACAATTATTTCCGATGTATGGAAGGAGCTCTCAACTAGAAAAAAACATTCTTGCTTTAAAAACTTCCGTAGCACCTAAACATATTAATTTAAACTCTAATATAACTGCATTTACGTATTTTCAAATGATGTTAATGCTTAATGACCCAAAATATTATTAAAGTTATTTCGTTTCCCTAAATGGTGGGCCCATACCATCCACAGACTACTAAGGCCAGAAGCAGTGGTCACTTTATTATGGAGGCACTCATTAGCTGGGCTACCTTTGCCTCCTATGAGGGGACGGCCAAATACAGCCATGCCTTCTCCGGGATTCGAGCCCGGGCTCTCTGGTATCGCAGTCGATTCCCTTAACCACTATACCGTCTGGGAGGTCATTATTAAAGTAAAAGAGTAAAACCGTACGAAACTAAAATCAAATACACTCAAACCCGTTTTGGGACCGTTGATAGGGACCGCATAAAACAAATCGCACAAAACTTCACGAGTAGTTATAAAAAATAGAGTCGTTTAGAGTTGACATTTTTTTAGTTACCATGTAGTCGGTGATCAGTTTTTGCTACGACTGTTGTTTCACTAGACGCTTCTATATGTCTTTGTAGCCAGATTTTCAAGACGGAAACTCCTTTTATAAGGTAATAAGGTATTCTCCCGCCTTTTTAGCATGCTTTCGTGGTGTAGTGGTCAGCACGCTCGAAACGTGGTCAGCCAGAGGTTCGTGGTTCGAGTCCAGGCAAGGGCATTGCTCATTTTTCATCTTTTCTGCTCTCAAAAATACCTAATATCTCTACAGTGGCGCCCGAACTAAAAGGTGGTGAATGATGATTCATCACCACCAGGATTTGGCAATTTTGTCCCCTAATCCGCAGTCGTCCTTTAAAGGGGGAGTACATAAGGAATTTCTCCCGCCTTATTAGCATGCATTCGTGGTGTAGTGGTCAGCACGCTCGACGCGAATTCGAGAGGTCAGTGGTTCGAGTCCCGGCGAGTGCATTGCTCATTTTTCATATGTCCTGCTTCGAAATAACCTAATGGCTATACACTTTTTTATTGATTATTTATTTTATTTTTCTATTGATAACTTCGTCAATTACGTTCCAATTTGATTGAAATTTTCATATACCACAAAAAAAAATCGCACAAAAAGATCGCATAAATACAGGTTTGAGTGTCCATTGTTTTCTAAGTTTTGTCAAAAATTGCACATAATAATGGAGGGAAAATATAATTTAAATTCGATATTTGAAAAAAATGATTTAAATTTAAATATCTCTTTTACACGCAAAGAATTTTACATTTTTAATGCTTTCAAAAATTTTAAAAGTTTAAATAACTTATACATACCAATTCTAACTTTATTCACTTTCGCTTCATAATTCATTTATCAAACGGTAAAAGCTTTCACAATGAAATTTTAAAAACTCAATTTATCTCAAGCTACATTAGTAAAATAACAACAGTGTTATTTTCAAAATGTTATTATTAATTTCGTTTAACCATTAAAAGTATGAATGCTCTTAAAAGGATCAAAGAATAAACACAAATTATGTCATCTGCGAATAGCTTGATATAAAGTATACAAACATTTCTCTAGTGTAACTCAATGAGATCAATTTATTTTTCTGGCAAGCTAACATTCACCAAAGTAAAATTACTTTAATATACATATACAGACAGCAACAGAAGTAAAATTCATAACATACATTTCCAAAGTACCAGCATAATCTTTTTTTCCTTGATGTTGTCTTTCTCGATTGATAAGTTATTGTGTTATTTTGTGACTATTGTCAATTATTTTTTGGTTACTATACGGTAAATCTGCTTAAGTAATAAATAATGTAATTAAAATTTAAACTTAGAGATTTATTGCTAGATCATGGATATATGTTTTCAGTCTAATCAAAGCATGTAAAAATTGCAGTCTTTAAAAATAATATCTAAAAATTCTGAAATTATAGAATTATTTTCATATTTTATTTATCACATAAGAAATCGTTAACTGTAGCATACTAAACGCATACTTAAAGGAAATCGAAGCATTTCATTTAAATTCATATTTCCTTAGAACTGCGATAGCATACTTTTTCATATATAAATAATTATAATGAGCATATGAAACTTCTTTGAAAGGTGCGCAACGAATTCTAAATATTATTGGGAAATAATCATAGTTAGTTATATAGATAGCTAGCCAAATATTGAATATAAATTAATCTTAAAATCCGTATTTTAGCTTGAGCTGCTTTTCTAGCCGCCTCTACATAACAGTGCATTTATGTTTAGTGAAAATGATTAGCTAACATTGTTTCGTTATAAAGACAAAAGTTGGTCTTTGGATTACGGTGAGCTTGCACACAGACATTTTTCTATAAATATAAAGCAAAGTGCTTTTATTATTTTTATCATTTAAAGATTTATACCTAACTAAGGATTTTCTCAGACCTAACGTGAAACTTAGTAGAGCCTGTGCCCTTAAACTTGGAAGTAATTATAATGGATAAATGTCATAATGCATAAAAAAGTACCACTTGCTTTTATATTGGGTAAGTCCATAAGTTGGTGCGCATTAAGAATAAGCGTGGAATTCACTATGACGCATTTACTAAAACAATACAATTTTGAACCTGTTGAAACTTGTCATCGTCTGACTAACATATTATTCAGTTCATCACAAACTTTCGTAAATATCGAATGCATTTTAGTACCCATAGAAGATGAATAATTTTCAATACAAACGCGCTGTGCTACATTTTTTATTTTCGTGTGGTGAAGCTGCCAGGTTTGCAGCGATGAAAATTAATAGTGTACATGGTGAACACACTATTAGTGTAAGGACTGCCCAGAAATGGTTAAAAAAAATTAGAGTTGGAAAAAGCAGCATTCATGATGAACCCCATTCAGGACGTTTTGAACTGTTAGAACCAAATCAAACGGAGCTTTTGCCATATCCTGCTTACTTTCCAGATATTGCCCCAAGTGATTTTCACTTATTTCGTGCCTTACAAATTTTTTTACTGGGAAAAAATTAAATTCTAAACAGGATGTACACAATTAACGTTCAAGTTTTTTTTGCATCAAAACCAGTCTTTCTACAGCAAAGGCATAAAAAGCTGCCTGTAAGATGGTGAGACACTGTAGATAATGGAGGAAAATATATAATTGATTAAAATGTTAAATTGTGTTTTTTATATTATTTAAAAATTTACCAAAAATTGCGCACGAATTTATGGACTGACCCAATAGATTCGAAGTAATAAAGAATTATCCCGCAAACCCAATTTATAGGGTACAAAATCTGCAATTGTTATTCAATATGTTTCCTTTATTTTCATTTTCAAATTTTGTTCTATTTCTAAGAATACATGTCACAAATCCAATGGTTTTGTAGAATGTAAAGAAATACAATAACAACTGCAATTTTAATCTTCTTTGGAAACTCCATTTATGAAAAAAAAAATATTGCTGTAGTCTGCAATTTTTGAATGCCTGTAGATATATTCTTGCACATACATACACAAAAATGAATATATAAAAACCTTTCTTCCAAAAGAGATGAGGCTAAAAAATCCGTCTTTTCAAATATGAATATTGTGCGCATAAAGCTACATACGACGCATAGGTATAATACAATTATTTGCATAATAACAAAATTAGTTTTCCTTGAGTACATTAGATCAAATATCATTAGCACGTATAGGAAATATTTGAAATGACCAGCTTCAGATTTCAGAATTTTTTCAGATTTTTTAAATGACTATGATAGCGTGCATTCATATAGTCATTGAAGCCTGTAGAGGAAGCCGAATCAGAATTTCTTATTTTCCCAGTGCTCATCATAACCTGAAAGAAACATCTAAATTTTCATGCGACTTTTCTTTTCGTTATTTTAAAATGGACGCCAATTTAACTTGCAGTTATCAGAATTTTCCCTTAATTTAAAATATTGAGTTCCAGGATATCCTTTTGAGAATAAAACTGAAGAAGAAGGGGAAAAAATTACACGATTGACTAAGCGGAAAATAAGATACGGATATTGAATGGGAGAGTTTCATCTTCTGCAGCGTGAATTCTTCGGGTTTTGCCATGGATTTATTTTGTTTCCTATATCATTCTACTACAGACTAGCAAGACCAGTTTCTCAATTGATCTTTCTCTTTGAAATTCTATTACTAACACTCCCCGCGGAAACGTTTTCGGCTTGGTTCGCCCTAACAAGTGAAGGCAAATTAAAGTTTTCCAAAGGTGTTCCGAAAAGTAGTTCTCTTGAATTAGGTTTTGGGCTTAGGGTTTCTTTTTATGAAGAAATAATTAATTTTTTATCATTAAAGTTTCCATTTGATGCAGGGATTACTCGTATGCACATCTTTCATTATACTTCTGTAGGCTTTTTGATTCTTCCGTTCAAGACAATTTTCCTGCGTGTATTATCTTTTCATTAGACTGATTTATTACTGAAAAACTTCTGATAACCAGTCCAGTATTTTCAGCAATTCATTCAGAGAACACTAGTTTAAGGACGTTTAAAACTTGAAATATTTCCTGCTTATTAATATATCGTGAAGAGGAAACAATTTCACTAAGCAATGATAATATTTAACTAATATGATTTATGTCTGACTTGCATATGGAACAATGTTTTTAAATTTTTAATTAAAAAATTGTCCAAAGCAGTTTCAAGTTTTAGAAACGTAAACTATCGTTAAATGGATGACTTTGATTTGCATGTATTAAAACTGTTTAGTTAATTATGAAATTGTAATTTTTTTTTACCTTTGCCAATCTAATATTCTTTTTTTTTATTATTATTCAATCTAATATTTAGTACAAACGAAGTCTTGTTTTGGTTAAAAACAAAACTATAAAACTATTGAATAATTTTGAAGAACCGAATTAACTGGATATGCTAAAATTTTCACAACAGTATCCCCTTTTATTTTAATATTCTTGTCTTCACAGGATTGAAGGTCTAACAATGTTAACGCGCTTTAAGTCAAAACTCTCAAATAAATTAACAAAAATCTTAGCTTTTCTGGCATTCAAAGAAGGAGAAGTAATCAAGCTTACAGGCACTTTGGATACCTCCGAAAGTATAACTCGAGTCCGGATAATTCGATTTCTACTATACTTGTATATCGATTGTTAATTGTGAATTTCAGACAAATGCAAATCCTAGAAAAATTACTCATGCCTTATTAAGAAATTAATTTAAGAATTAAGATTAAAGAAATTAAATCTCTAGATAAAAACTGTTTTTCATCTATTCAAAGCCCCCATGTTAAATAGCATTTCTATATACATTGTTGAATGCTTTCAACCCACTATTCTATGTTAGTGCAATGTAATGTAGACCAAGTTATAAAAGATATCGCTTTCGTAGATATCGGTGCCTAAATTAAAATTTGTTAACCATGCAAATATATTTTATTGTTACTACCAAGCACACGAAGACTTAAAAGTTTAGAGGTTGGATGGATACTTGTTCTCTTTTCCTTGTATGCGATTTCTTATTATCAGTTAAATATTGCTCATACAGAAACTGCTATTCTTAAAACGAGAATGCCACTTACCTATCATCATATACTTCTGATGGACTTCTTCATAAGGCGGCCACATAAGCCTGTCAAATCTTCCTTTTGATCGTTCTGGAGCACCTCTTTCTGGCTGTTGCACATTTGGATCTCTGTATAAAGAAGTGTAGTGCAAAATAAAGACTTTATAAAATATTTACTTCAGTTCATTTAAATTTTTCATTATAATTCAAATTTAAATCTCCAATTTCGAAATCGTATTTAAAATTTTTTATTAATAGCATGTACTTAAAATTTTGAAATATCGACCTAGAATAATTTTAAAAGCTTAAATAAATTGCACTAAGCGTTTACACTGTAAGAATTTTTTTTAATATTCTACAATCAAAGAATTAAGTATCTTTGCAGAAAGTACTGAAAATTGAGAACAACGTAAAAAATAATATCACGAAAAACGTCGGAAACATGAAACGTTGCAAAATAAAGGATTCCAAGAAACATTGATTGATAAATAAAACGAAATTCCTGAAAATACAGAAATATAACAAATTTTAGAAATTTAAGTCAACGAAAACAAGTTTCGATTAGTTCTAAGGAAGAGAAAATTAAAAAATATTTTTCTGGTGAGCTACAATTACATAATTTTTTTTATTCCCCCACTGAATTATATAGACTCGGATTTCTAAGTAAAATTCATTCCTCAATGTTCGTAAAAAGTAGAAAGTTTATCTGAAAAGCAAATAAGCCCGCCAGATCCAAGCAGTAAAATCATATAATGTATTTCTTTACATGCAAGTTAAAAATATTAGCCATTTTCATTTCAGGAAATGGGCTTCATACAAGTATCTTCTAAAGCAAATAAATACTAGTGTTAATTAGTGGACAGTTTATAAGGAATTTTCTTCTTCCTTACCCCGTGTCTTCGTGATGTAATTCGAAGCAAGTCCAGCTAATAATCGGGAGAGCCGAAATTCGAATCCTGACGAAGGCATCTTTGTTTTCTCATGCATCCCTCTGTAACAAATCTGATAATTCTACAAGTAGCTAATGAACTTAAGTTTGGAGGTTGATAATTCGTTACCACCTGTATTAAGTGACTGAGTCCCCTCCTTCCCAGTTGCCCTTTAAGCAGGGTAAGAGTGTAAATAATTTTCTTCCTTCTTACCATATGCCTTCGTGCTATAAAGGGAAGCACGTCCGTTTGGCAGTTAGGAAGTAAGGAGTTTTAAACCCGGTGCAGGCATTGCTGCTTTTTCGTGATTCCTGCTTGGAAATCAACCCAATGTTGGGCAATTTTGCCCAACATTTAAAATGTTTATATAGTCGAACCACGGATCACTAACAAATCGGTACATTAGCAAATTATCTAAACTAAAAATGTCTTGGATGGCGAACGGTATTTCGAGTTGTGAATACTCATATTGGAAGAAACTGGTTTCCTATGGTGTTTTAAAATAGCCTCAGATAAATAATTATCACACGGAGATTCGTGGAAACATTATTTTTGTATATCCTTAACCCTCATTATGAAAGCTTGACACCAAGTAACTTTCAGGATATGAATTTGGCATGGTAGAACATTTTATGGCCAGATTATGTTGCAGGCAGAAATGTTGAAGCTTTTGATGCTGATGCTTTTATGTTACCTAATATATTGTTTCTGTATAAGAAACCATCCAATTTTGACATTAAGAAGAAAGTTGCAGAACTGTTACTAAAGGACCACAAAAGTACGCTCAACTAAGATCTAGACAAATTTCATAAGCAGCAATAAAATGCGACTGTGGGAAAGTGTCTGCAGTGGAAGAAAAAATCAAAAGGGAAGGCAATCGTAGTTTCTTGATCTGCGAAAGTTGTGATATTTTTGAATATTGAAATTTTGAAATTCTATAAAACAAGACAGTAAGTTTCATACCGATGGTGTAAGGATTATATCGTAGGCATTCTCAAAGACTGAGCCATGACTCCATTCAAAAACGTTTTAAAATGTAAACAACAACAAAACACATTAACAAGTCACTAGGAGACCCGATGAATTTCAAGGAATGTCAACTGAGGTTAAGAGACAAAGAAAAAATAAAAGAAGATGCTTCAGGAACACGTTTTTATAGCTCCTCATCCGAACAATAACATGTCTTTGCTTTCTGTTTCACATTTATTTCCACTTATATAGTACACTCATCTTCATACAGATGCTAAATAATTTTTTATCTAATTTTAATATGTTTAATGTTGAGTTATTGTTTCACTTAGATTTAATGCTTTCCGTTGTTTTTTTTGTTATTAACTTGTACACGAAATACTGTTTAAATAAGCAATCATTTGTAGTCTAGGAATATATTAATCCATTTTACCTTATTCCTATGTGGAAAATAACTTCAGTTTACGAATTTGATTTCGGATAATGAAAGCTCTTTGACTGATTGTCACTATCTGTTACCAATGCAGATCTCTTTGATATATATTATAAGTCCATCTGATTTCATTTTTCAGTTTTCAGCCTTCCTAAGGTTTTTAAGATGTTTTTAGAATGAATACTTACAATTGGTTCTGTTTTGGCACATCCGAAACTATATATCTCTGCCGTCTAAGCAAATAAACAAATAAGAAATTTTATTTTACCTGTTAGATATTTTATTCTTAGCAAGAACATTAAAATGGTATTTGAAACTATGCATCAAACACTGTTGACAAAGCTGCTGACAGAAAGAATAACTGTATGTGAAATTTTGAAAAGCATTTTTTAATAAACATTTTTCATCTTCATGCTCACTGAATTGAAACTGAGGAAAGTTTTTGTTATTCTAGTTTTCTGCATTAGTATGACCCTATAGGAGTTTAAAAGATTTAGTACAGTAAATGTTATCTATAAACACGCAAAATCTATGATTAGGTCTGACCTTTACTTTCCAGATTCACATGTCATATTAATAAGTCTTTCATGTTAAATGGATAAAGTATTTGTTCTACAGTTTTTAAGGTTCATTTAAGTAAATTACGTAGTTATCAAAATTTTCCCATAGCACAAATCACATCTCACATATTTTCAAAATGTATTTTGGAATAAACTTTAACAAAACTTTATTTAAGATATAATTAAATAATAAATTCTTAAAATAATACATTCATTAATATGAAATTATTGCGTGGTATTTGCTTTGAAAATCTCATTTAGACTCTATATAATTTCAAGAATTAAACATCCGTCGTTCTTACATATTATTACTTTACGTGAATCTTTGTTTGTAAAAAAATAAAATATTATTTTACATTATATTTAATTAAATATAAATGTATTAAAATAAAATAAAAGTAGCAAAATATATTACATCTATACCTTTAAGATGATTTTTAGTATAAATTTTATATGTTACTTATAAAAATACAATAAAAAATTTCTTAAATTGGAACGTTAGGAAATTCATTAATGTACAACTGTTTCAATTATTTACATTAAAAAATAATTTTATTTTATAAGTTACAGGGTGATCTACTCATTACTGGCCCTTGTTTTTCCACATAATTTGTGAAAATGCCAAAATATAGAAAAAAATATAGGTATACTTATCTTTGTCTGCGATTTCGCTTGTGATTGCATGATATTTTGAACGTGCTTGCTGCTGGAAGGCAGAATTGCATGACTCATTCCATGTTATCCAAGTATTGCATCAGCTTTTCGGCAGTCCCCATAAGTTCAAGTAGTTAATGTTTTCTGCTAATGCTATATTTTGTTCTGGTACACTTTACCTTTCAATGCGTTCCACAGGAAAAAATCAGGAGGTGAGAGAATAGACATTCTCTATGGGAAACGTTCTTTCCATCTAATACAGTAGTGTGCAAAAGCCAAGAATCATTTCTAATACTGTCCGTAATTCCGCAGAAAACCAGATGGGAGATATAAAATCATACTACATGTGTATAATATAGTATTTAAAGGATGATTAAATGAGGAAAGTGTATTAACCGAAAAAGAAAAGCATTAATAGGATGCATAAAATACAAAACGAATAGAAAACGATTTTACTGACAGAATGGCATTGGTATAAAAAAATGTCTGGCCAAGAGGGATAACAACAAACCAAAGAGTGCTAGTAAGAGATATGACCTCCTCTAACTTCAAAGGTTGCTTTGCACCGTCTATTGGTACTCAACACTAAATTATCTACCAGTTTTTGCGATGAGAATTTCCATTCTTCAAGAAGCATCTGTTTCAGTTCTCTTGTACTCTCCGGAGGGTAAAATTGGGCATCAGGGGTCTCTTTAAAGCATTCCACATACGTTCAATGGGGTTTAAATTAAGAAAGAACGTCGACCAGGCCAATCTGCGGATATCTTCACATTCCACGAGCTCCTCAACAGCATGAATCTTTGTGGACGTGCACTGTCGTCCATAAAAACAAAGATTACACCAATGGCACCCCAGAAAAGACACACGTGGAGAGGGTAGCTTCATCACGGTAAGTGAATCTCTGTTGAAAATGTGGAGCTCCGTCCGTCCGTTCATCATAATGTATCCTCATACAAGCACACCAGAACTACCCCAATCGTCTCTCTCCCTAACGTTAGTGGGATGAAAACATGCCCGTATCTCTTTCCGTGTCAACTGGTGCCGAGAATTGGGTGTCAATCTGAAACGACTCCTATGGGTAAAGAAGAAGTGACTCCACTGATGGAGTGCCAAATCTGCGTTCTCTACACCACTATAGACGTGCCGTCGATGGGCTGCTCTCAATGGCACAATCAGCCACCGTTTTTTCCTTGGCTGTCCACACAAACCTTTCTTACAGCTGTACCTGTCGTTTAGAAGGTTCTAAGGTATTTCTCCCGCTTTCCTAGCGTGCCTTCATGGCATAGTGGTTCTTTACGCTGGACCGGTACTCCAGAGGTCCGCGGTACGATTTCCGGCAAAGGCGTTGCTAATTTTTCATCTTGCCTGCTTCAAAAAAATACCTAAAGTCTCTACAAGGTTTCCAAGCTCTTCAGCGACAGACGTCAAATCACGCTTCTCCTCAAGCTTGCCAATTATTTTACCACGTGTAAATGCATCCTGTTATATTCTTGTAACCATACTGCACGTTCACTCTCACTTTCGTCTCCAGAAGAATGCCTGGAAATGCATCTTGCTTTGTTTTTTTTTAACACGCTATTTTTACCGTCCCTGGGAATCGACCGTGAACTGTTTGTTTGGCCGACGTCGGTTCCTAGGGACCGACAGTATCAAAATTAAAAAATAAATGTAGCAATTTCACTGAATTTATTAAAACTTGTTTCAATATATATTAATTTATCAAAATTTATTTATTTTTATTACTTTTTGGAACCGCATTCATAAAAGGCTATATTTGGCTGATTGCCTTTTGGATCAAACCATTCATTTTGGTCTCTGGTTTCGTTAGCACTTTTGCCACAACTATTATTATCAAGTCCCATTGCCTGCCCTAATGAATTATCATCTTTAAACGATTCAAAAAATAATTCACTCTACTTATCACTATTTCATTCTATTCCGAACATAATTACAAAGGAAAAAAATTCTATTCTCAAATCCTCTGTACACTCCCATGGCTTTTTTCTAACTAATCCTCTACAGGAGGTAGACTTTTTGCCGCTCGTACAATTGTGCATTAGCAGATCCATTGTCCTTCGAAAGGAAATATGAAAGGTGAAACGAAATAGTCGTCTGTTCATTCTCTTATACTGCTCGCTCGCTGCCGGTTGAACGAAAGTGACAGCAATAGCGGAGTCGCGCTCAACGTGTTAAGTTGCCTTGAGCTGCGAGCGCTGACTCCTTGCTTTTGCTTACCCTATCTTACCCTCTGACGTCATGATGCTGATATCTGCGTATCTATCACCTTTCTACTGAGTTGGTATTCCATTGTACTGATCACAAAAACGCCTTTTCGGAAATTTCATGGTTGTATCTTGAGAAAGAAATTGTTGGAAAAAAATGTGTTGCTTAAGTTTTGCGCACTAGTATATAGTTGCGACAAATTAATTTGATTAAAGTTATGTTCTGCATAGAGTTACAATATGTCGTTCTATCCTGTCGAAGTACCCAGTAGTAAACTCCACGTGCAGAAGTAAACTCAACTGTACAAAAGCAAAAGGTTTTCCACATGCATGATGGTGTTCGCTTTTGCGTGGAAAGATGTTACCATTGCACAAGAGACAGCAAGCCAAATATAAAATTATTCTGGGCGAAAAATTGCTTCCTTATATCCATGGGAATGAGCACGCGGATTTCAAACGCCGAATTCCCAAATCCGCTGACAGTATCCCACTCTGTTTCCTTCATCAATAATTTAATTTTCTGTGATATGCATGAAGTTTTCCGGTTTGACATGAAATTTTGAACGTTTTCTGTCTAGTTTCTGAATTAATAATAAACTTATTAATCCTTCGCTTCCAATAAACCTTCGTACATCTTCAGTAAACATAGTTTTGGCATTCTTTGATGGGCCGAGTTGTTCAATATGGTACGGGCCAAAAAAACATGTTGTTCAATTGTGTACGATCCGTATTGTTTATTTCGAAACATAACACTAAAGCACAACACAATACATCCGTTAAAGGCACACGATTCTCTTAATTCGCTGCCAGCCAATTTTCTGATTTCTGCGTATATAGCAATTCATCTCGCGTTTTCCAACCAGATTCATACTCGGTGCTAACGACACTTTTGCTACTTAGGAGGCTTTGCTTTATCTAATTCTCTCACTCGCTTTTCAAGATTTTTTGTTCCAGACTGATCTCCTTTCCACATTTGTGCCGAATTTCCGGGCCAATAGAAAGTAATCACTGCAGTGTTATAAACAATATTTTTACACCAAAAAGCGGTCAGCATGAGTGTTTCCTTGTCTCTCAGATTTAAGCATGAGTGTTTCCTTGTCTCTCAGATTTAAGCATGAGTGTTTCCTTGTCTCTCAGATTTAAGCATGATACTGCATCTGATTGGTTTCAATATTCATAATGAAATTTAACAAATTAATAAAGAAAAGATGTACTTACCCGTTTCGTGCAAAATTAACCCAATAGGTCATGACTGCTTCTGCTAATCCCACTTCAGCTTGAGTATAATTTCGAGAAAAATGACCCAGAGTACCGACTAATGGTGCTCCAAACACGTGCTGAAGATCTTCTCCGGAAATGCAGCCTTGCCTTTGCGGAAACTTTCCATCTTCTGTTTGGTAATTGAATACGTAAAAGAATGATTTTCGAGGCCCTAAAGAATGATAATTAGCGGATTTCACCACTGGGGCCACAACAAGGGCATCTCCTAGAGCATCTAACGTGCCATCTAAAACATTTATATCATGCTGAACTGCTTTAGTCCAGTCAGTATACTCGTTTACTATAGTAAGAAATATCTCCTGAAGGTGATAGTTGAAGATATTTCTAACTAGAGTTCGCAAAAGCTTATCCCTACGTCCTATTTCTAAACCGACCTTTTCCTCCTTCTCAGATATGTAGAAATATGACTCAACTCGAGTCACACCAAACATGAGATCGAACAAACCAGACTGATGTTCGTTCGCTAGTTCTTCCATCATTAAAAGAGGCTCGTTTTGGATAACTATACCATCAATAGTGGGACCAAATCCTGTAAGAAACATTGGAACAGTGGTCTGAACTCTTAGTATGTCTGCAACAGATCTCTCGCGTAAGCACTCAAGAAGACTAGCTGGTTGAGTTGTTGGGCAACCAAGAGTCCGGGCAATCTGTTGAGCATAAATGTTTGCATCACGCGCTATTGCCCAAGAACTTAAAGCTGATCCACTCATCATGATGGCTCGATGAAACAACCCTGCAGGGAAGAGAGTGGAACCTACAAATGCTATTTAATATTTGTTGTCCTTCTGATCCAAAACGACTGGCAAAGATCTCCTTATTAGCTTAATTTAAATTTAGATAACCTTTAAGTTACATTAACGTTAGTTATACTTTAAGGGAAAATAATAATTTATTTCTAGCTCTTAAGGATACACAATATAATTACAACCATTTTCTTATGAATCTTTGCGAATCGTTTTATCGAAGCACATTATGCAGAATATTTATTAATATAATTAGAATACATTTAAATATTGTACTGATATACATAATTAGAATGTTTAAATAAATTAAGAGTTTTAAAACTAAAGAACTTTAAAATTATACAGCTGAATATATTAAAATTATGTGCCATAAATAGTTGATTATGTTTCATATGTAAAATTATATTTCTGACACTACTAGCTCATTGGTTAATTAATTCCACATGCATTATCATAAAATTATATTTAGTATTTCTTCGTGTTTCCATTAATATTATGTCATTAAGATAATAAAATATAACAAATAATATGCATTGTTGCAATGATGTGTATTTATAGATTCATAACTTTTAAAATTCTGGCTAGTTCTGAAAAAGAATCATAAAATAGTAGGCATGATCTCATATTCAAACATAAGTTCAGTTTAAAGTAAGACCTAAATTTGTTTTCCTAGACGTTTAATTTATGATCAAATACTTCTTTTGTGCGTGCAGAGCATACAAACTTAAAATATTTTAACATTTGCTGCCAGTGTGTATTTTCAAGATAAAAGGCATTAAATGTTCTAAACTGGGTACTATGGTATGGACCTAGAAACAAACTGTGTCGTTCTATCAGTCCGTTTTTAGCAACTGAAACAACAAATACAGCAAACACCTTCTAATACCTGGCCATCTTATATTTGCAAAATTAGGAACTTTTAAATTTGCATTATCACATTTATATGCACAGGTCGAACTGTCATTTTGTAGTTGTAAAGCTATATGTTTCTTGAAAGAATCAAAGGTAAATCTAATATATAAATATACATTTTGCTTAACTAAAAGTTTTTTTCATTTCAGTTTTATGAAGTTTTGTCCAGCTGAGTTTCAGATTAATCCCGATAAAAAAGTTGAGCGTTTACTCAACATTAAAATTATAAAAGAAGGCTCATTCATTTTATAAAAGAAAATTCATGTGATCATTTTGCTTTAAAATTTACTTAAGGTCTATTCAGCATAAAATAAATCTTTGCTTGCAGAGTATCAAATGGTTTTAAATTTCGCTAAAATGTTTTAATTCATGCCATAATGAAATTTAATCTTATATTAGAAACGTAGAGGAGAAAAGGAAAGTATATGGCATGGATGCACTCAAGAAGTGTTGATATAATAATATTGGAGGTAAATAAAATTAGTCTCATTTGGCTTTTTATAACTCTTTTGGTGGTTTTTAGTTCAGGAGGTACTGGATTCTGGAATCACGACCAGTAAAACTGAAATTGTTTCCTATGAAATACTAGAAATTTATTTTTCTGGTAAAAACCCTTTTTTCCCAGAATGGCGGTTCCCAAATTAAAAGTACGAAAAAGTAATTATTGGAATACTCAGATTAGTTTATTTTTTATAGTATATTAAATAGTAAATAGATTTAATTATAAAAAATGATGAAAAACAAATAAAATTTTTAAATTGTAAAAAACTTTTGAAACATTACATAATCTTTTCCTTACAAAAATCATAATTTTACAGTTTATGAGTTTTAATAAGCATTTCATGAAATTAAATTTTTGTAAAAGTTTATTAACGAGACCAATAACTTATGCAGTTTTTTTATTTCATTTATTAAGTTTTGTAAAATTTAATTTTTAATACATATTAAAATTTATATAATTAATTTTTAACGAAACTCATTTAATTTTGAGAGTTTATTAAATTTAATAAAAATAGTATTTATTAAAGATAATTTATCGAAAATATCATAACGATTTTAATTTATTATTAGTATATTATAAATGATGCATGAATTGCATTATTGATATATTGCATCATTTTAATCTTAATTGAATATAATATAATAATTATTTATTAAAGACTATCGTTTTACTAACGTTATATATCTGTATTATAAAAGGTGAAGAAAAAAATGTGTGTGACGTGGACGCATTCAGTTGATCAAAGTTCATTAATGATTAGCATGTAGGGTTTCCTTTATTTTGCATAACAAATTTATTTTAAGTTTCTTCCTGAACTCCTCAACTTTCCCTCGCATTTTCTTGCCAGGGTGTAAATTTAAAGTGAAATGAGTATTTAAACGGGTGAATCTCTGTGTTTATTGAAAGCGTGTTTTCGCTAACCAGCGCACGTTTAGTTGCTTTCTCGCTGTTACGCTAGTACGCCTCTTGGCCATTTCGGATTGACGCCACGCCTGTTAGGTTGAGTCAACCTGTTAAATGTAAGATGCAGGTCAGAATTGAAATGTTTCTCAGCTTTAAGAATTGATCACTATCGGATCTTGTAAAATTAATTTTACAATTACAAAATAATGAATATGCGAGTTAGATTTTGTAATCTTTCTGATTACTAACAAAATTTAGAAAATATTTTAATTAAAAGAAAATTAATTCTTTTAAATTTCTAACTGTAAACAGTTATATTAATAAATATGCTTTGTTCTATCAAAAGTTGTATAGCTCTTTATGCTTTAATATAAGTGCCTGAAGAGAAATCCTGCAGCCTATGTGCAAAGCTGTTCTCCACTCAGCAGTCACCGTGACACCTTGGTAATAGCTGTTTAGCATGCTTCTAGAATCATAGCATTTACATAACATTTTTATTCTGCTTAATGCTTAAAATCTTGCTCGCAAGACAAATAGGAATGATAACGACTATTGCGTTTTGTCAGGCTAAATGCCATACTGTGGAAGAGGATACCGATCTAACTTGTGTGTAGAACTACACTCATAAAATGGATGCGTGACAGCGTCCGGTGGTCATCAGACAGGAGTGCGCATAACAGCCGATGGCTAATCATTGTCAAAACGAACGTACAGTACTTCAGATTGTACAATATTTCTAATCCTTTAAAATTTACTTCATGTCTTTTGAATTCTTCAAATTTTTCTCGATTGTTTTCCTTTTCCACATACACCATTTGAAAATCGCCACTATCTGAATATTTAATCATTGAAACAAAGAAAAAAATTATTCTGACCCGCACACACCTTTGTAAGTATACATTTGTACACAGTGAAACACTTTGGTTCTTCTGCATAACTTAAGATTATAAATATTCCTAGTTAAACTTTGAGAGTTTCATTAAGGAATTATATATCTGTGATTATTTCTTACGCCAATTCCCGGAATAGCATTTTAATTAACAATTAGAAAAAAAAGTATTTTGTTGTTTTTAGTTCATTACTATTGTAATTGTTTTTTGTTTTATTGAGGAGCATTTCCCAATGATGAACTCTAATACAAATCTCGTTTCCATATGTTTTTTCTAATGCATCTTCATAGCATTCTATGGAATACTATCGAAATATTTTATTTTAATATTCCAGGTTTTTCTAATGCGTTAAAATATTGTCTGCAACGTGTTTGGAGAAAAAGTGTAAATTCTTAATTGTAAGAATGTAATGAAGTTAGTCTTGTGTGTATTCCCTTTCTTTCTCATTAGAAAACTATGTGTTACGTGGAAAAATAATTTTCCAAAAAAACTTTAATTTGACTTGGAACACGCTATGCAGAGATTTAGATAGTGTGAAAAGAATATAGTGCATGAGCAAGATTCATGCCTGATAAAAATTCCAGGATGCCAATTTATTTCGCCTTTTCTTCAAAAACGCACAGTTCCTAGTTAAACATTACATGAGTATTTTCTTTATGCAATCATAGGAATAAAATAATTACGAAGAATAAATCCAAGTGTCAATTTTTCTAATATGTTATATAGCACATATATCAGAATAAATATTTACCTTTAGCCATAGGTGATAAGACAAGAAAATTGATGCATGCTGCTCCGTGGCCTTGTCCAAAAAGCGTTACATTCTTGGGATCCCCACCAAATTCTGCTATATTCTCCTGCACCCAGTGTAAAGCAGCTACTTGATCTGTCAGGCCATAATTTCCTCTTGCTGAACCTTCCATTACAGGTAAGAAGCCTGAAGAGAAACAGGAAGGAAAACACTGCTTTACTATGATATTTTAAATTAAACCTCTATTCGAATTGAAAAAAATAAACGTAAGTTTATTTTACAGGACTTATTTTTTTAAGCAAATAAATCTTGCTTAAATTATTAAGCTTTACAATATTCAAATTTTATATATTTAACAAATGATGGGTGTAATAAAAATCAAGTTAAAAGTTGCGCATTATATAGCTTCAGTATAATAATGCGGTAAAAATTATTACCTATGCAGCTTAAAACATTCAGTTGTAATTTCAGAAAAAAATGAAGTGAGTTCATTTGAATGGATTATTACATAATTCGAAACAATCATAAGCAACTATTGGAAAATGAATCATACTGCACATTCTTTTTACTGTTAGTGCAGTGATTCTGCACTTGACTGCAATTTAGACAACCCTTGAATTATCATTATTAGCATAATTATTGATAAGAAGAATGAAGAAGAAATTTAATGTTAATAAATTTACTATTTTTCGCATCGATAAAAGAAATGGACAAACATCTATGTTTATAGCTTCTAAATTACTCGTAAGTTTCATGTAGCTTAAACTGTAAGAAAATATTCACCCTCCCAACCATGTAATTAATCTCCTCCTAAATTATCAGCATTCAGAGCAAGTACACAACAATACGCACTACATAACCTAAGTTAACAGCCCGAAAAACGATTATAGGAAGTGTTAGGACAATACGAATCAGCTAATATTCGTAAATTTCAGGACTAGGTTCGAAGAGTTAAGCACAAAAACTGCCTCTTCAGCTGCAGAAGTGCAAATCTGCAGCTGAAGCTGCTTTGCACTTCTGCAACTGCTTTAAATTTGCAGCTGCTAGAAGAAGAAGGTTCGAAACTAGACCTGGAAATTATGAGGATTACGCTGATGCATATTTCCTTAGTATCTTCCATAAGGCATGACTTATTTAATAATAGAGGTGCATCATATTAATTGAGTTAATTTGAGTTGTGAATTGAAAGATCGTTATGCATTATTATTAAGTTTGGCAGGTAACAATGAAAGAAATGAAGTCAGGTTTGAAATTTGTCAGCTGTTATGCCCAGAATATTGCATCGAATAAAGTAAGAAAAGATAGTATAGTGATAGCTGAAAATGATTTTTTCCAATACATTACTACAAGTGAAAATTAATTTCCAATTAAAGCTAATTAAAAGAGTAGTAATAAAATCTTTTAATGACTGTACTGATTATGGTAGAACTGCCATTTCAGAAGTTTAAATTATGTTGAGAATAACACCCGTCACAATTTTAAAGAAAGATAAATGTGTCAACCTTCAATATTAAATTACACTTACCTACTTAATTTCTCTACATCTGCTATGTAAAAAGTTTAGCTTAAACTAATTTATTAAATAAATTTTGTAGGAACTCTTCTTATGAGTTCATTGCTCTGTGGCAGCAAGAAATTTATTTGCCATCAGGTGAACCCTGGTGCGCCAATTTCTTTATCAGATAGGACAGTATTACCTGTCCTACCTCTAACAAGATCTTTCCCCTGTCCCTGGCTTACTTTCGACGTAATTTAAACGCTTTCCACAGTCGTAGAGCAACACTGTGAACAAAATTTGACTCCCTGGACATCAGGTATTAATTTTCGCCCTTCATTAACCTTTTTAGTGATACGACTACGCATAAAATCATTTAATTGATGCCGGAAGGGCACACTGAAGCTTTTCAAGATCGTCAAGTAAATCTTTACCGTAAAACTTTCACTTGCCACAAGAAAATCCCTTTTATCAGAGCAATCACGTGATGACCAGGCAAGGAAATGGAAATTTGCATTCGCACACCACTTTTTACTATATCCCGCACGTATTCTGATTTTCCGCATTTTGCTCCCTGTCATTTGGCAGTTGCTACGGGCAATAGTGTTGTCCGTCCTTAGCTATTGTCCAGTAGCGTATATGAAACCAATACGAAATTGATTACAGTGAAATCTTCGTAACATTATACCGAACAACTATAATTATCTATAATTTCACCGACATTTAGTTAAGTTTCTTTTTAAGAAAAGACTTCACTGATAAATATTTTATAAAGAATGGGAATATAAACAGAAAGTATTAATATTAACTATAATCTAGGGACAGCCTCTTATATTCGCTGCAGTTAAAAAAAAGAAAAACTAATTGCTAACTTAAATGTGGCGTTTGACATGTGATGTGAATTTTTAAGAATATACTGCTATTGGACCCTCTTTTATGTCCTCGAGCAATAAAAATACTTCTGGTATTAAAAAATTATTAATAATTCTTTTTAAGGAGATTTTAAGAAACTTTCATTAAAATAACCAGTTATGAAACAAAATACAGAATATTTAAAGTTTCAGTCGTTGAAATAAAAATAATGAAATGAAATTTTTAATACTAATACAGTTCATGAATTACATTAAAAATTATTTTATCGAAATTTAATTTGATTTGAAACTGCAAAAGTAATATCTGAAATAAAGCAAGATGACGAACACAAGTAGTTATATCTTTAAAACAGAAACAAAGGATTTAGTAACATCCATATTCAAGGTTAAGAAAAACTAAATCACTGTGCCACTTTAATCTCCAGAATCGTGTTTTTCAGCGTAGATACCTTTTAATCCCAAATACCCTGTATTGCACATTTATTAGCCAGACTCGTTGGCTGTAAGATAATTTCCAGAAAATGTCTATTTAAAATGTGAACTCTTTATGTAAATATACATAAAGACATGGAAATGCAGTCCAGCATTTTCCCCTTCTGTTAACATGTGCACATGTTATGTATGACCTGTAATGTTAAGAGATACAGGAAACATGTATTACATCTTTTGTTATAGCGTGTCTCGTGTTAAAAATGCTGCATTATAGACCGACAAAAGAGGTACCAATTTAGTTAAAGCATCCATGAGTTAGGCAGCCCTTAATAACTTTCAGAAGTCTGAACTTGAATTCATCTTCGGAATCCACAATGAGAATCAAGTTTCATTTTTCATGAAATAGTCTGCCTACTAAATAAAGCTCCTCCGATTTCTTAGATTATAAGAGGGTAACAGGCTGTCAGGGTCAGCAAGTACTATATACTAGATTTCTGGCTAACATTTTAATAATATGGTTTGTTTTGCCATTGAAACTAATGAACATTTTTATTAACGTAACAATTGTGAATAAAGTTCATTAAGCTCCAGTTTGAAATTACTTGAGAGATCTTTTGAAGATAACTTAGATATCTGGAATTCCTGTACTTCGGTGATCCGAATTCTTCTGCTGAGTTTAAAAATAATTTCGCTTCCTGATGCAATTTATTATTTAAGAAATACACGAAAGTGAAAAGCATCTTTGGTGAATACTTATTCATGTAGTTATGCAAATAGTATAACTTACATTAGCTTGAATGACATTAGAATAATCAAACATGTTCATCTCACATTCTTTTAATTTCACTGCTGAAACAAATTCAAATTCTATTGCCTAGAGTTTACATATCCCGAGATTGTACGTTTCTCCGAAACACAGATGTTATTCGTTCCCTGCCTAAATGGGAATGCAGGTGGCTGGAGAAATTTCAAATGATCAAGGAATTAACGATAAATAGCAAATTTAGAAAACCCGAAGCAATACGACATAAGATTTCCTCTCCCAGTGACTGATTAAACTCTTCATATGCTCGAAGATTTTAAGACTGAAATAGCTATTAATTTAGTTACAACTCTTACACTGGAAGTTAATTTTAATCATTGAAACCTATATCAGAGTTATAAAGGATACGGATATTTTCTTTACACTAATATTGTCAAACCGCAGCTATTTTGAGGCAGCTACAAATTTTGTAAGGTAATATAACATCTAAAAAAAATTAAGTATAACATTTTAAAAAAATTTATAAATATTATTAGTCATCGCAACCGACAACAATTTGTTCAAATACTTTTAGTATGATCTTCGCTACTTTGAAACTGCTTATATACACTCTTAGACAAAAAAAAAAAAAAGAAAGAAAGAAAGAAAAGACGCTGCACCAAGAAGGAGTTATCCAAATGGGACGAAAATCGGTAGAAGTGATATACATGTAGAGAAAAACAAATGATTACAGTTTGAGAACAATTGGATGATTTATTGAAGTGATAAAGTTTCAGTCAGTAACGTGTTTATCCGTCTCTGACCCTTATGCAAGCAGTTATTCGGCTTGCACCGATTGATAGAGGTTGCGGATGTCCCCCTGAGGGATATCGTGTCAAATTATGTCCAACGGACGCGTTAGATCGTCAACATCCCGAGCTGGTTGGAGGGCACTGCTCATAATGATCCAAACATGCTCAATAGGAGAGAGATTCTGCGACCTTGCTGGTCAAGGTAATGTTCGGCAAGCAGTAGAAACATGTGCAGTGTAGGCGCGGGCATTATCTTGCTGAAATGTAAGCCCAGGGTGACGTGACCAACGGGCCTTAGAACTTCGTCGATGTACCGCTGTGCTGTAAGGTTTGCGACGGATGACAATCAAAGGGGTCCTACTATGAAATGATATGGCACCCCAGACCATCACGCCTGGTTGTCGGCCTGTCTGCCGGAAGACAGTCAGGCTGGTATCACACCGCTGTCCGGGGCGTCTCCAGACTCGCCTTCGCTGGTCATCGAGGCTCAGTTCAAAGCGGGACTTATCACTGAAGACTATTCTACTCCAGTCAGTGACATTCCAGTGCGAATGAGCCCGACACCACTGCAAACGGGCTTGACGTTGTACAGAGGTCAATGATAGTCGGCGTACCTCAGCCTTCTTTCTGTGAGCCGTCTATGAATGGTCCTTGCGGTCACTGAAGCACTAATTGCATGCACAATCGATGATAATGATACATCTGGAGCTGTGAATGCCGCTCTGACGATTGTTCGGTCTTCACGTTCTGTCGTCTCTAGGCCTACCGCTTCGCTCTTGACGCTGTGTGCGGCTATGGTTCACCCACTCCTGCCAACATCGTCTAATAGTGGC